TATTATTGAATAAGAAATCTTAAATTACATCAGAACTAAACTTTTTCAAATTTTTTTAAGTTTTTTTTCAGATATTATAGAATGTGAAATCTTTAAATATAGAATTCACATATATATAAATTATTAAAAAAATGTAAACTTTTTCATATCTTCATATTTTATTCATAACGGAATTAAAAAATATATTCCAACAAATTTTTATAAAACAAAAAAAAAATCTATATAAATTCTTATATGACAAAAAATTTTCTTAAAATTATTTTTTATATTATGCAAAAAATAATAAATTATTATTATATTCAAAATTATAAAATAGCAAATGATTAGAAATCTTATTATACATTACCTTTATACAATTTCTAATTTTTATTTTCAATATTTTACTTTTTACTATATTAATACATATTTAATGTTAACTGGTGTAAATTATTTAATTTCTTTAAAAAGTTACTGCGCAATAGCTACTGTGCTGATTCCTATTTACAGCTATTTGAAACTCAAGTGTTGATATTATTTTTAAAAAAATTTAGACTGCGTATACATTAATTAATTATAATTGGGATATATAATTATATTAAAAAGTTATTAACTAAAGAAATATTATTTGTAATGTAAAAATAAATAAATAATTATTGAATTACGAATATAAAATAATTTTATTCAAAAAAATACGTATATATAAAACATTTTATATAACATAAAATTTATACGCAGTGAAAAACTTTATATTTATTCGCCAAGACATCCTTTTGGAATTAAGCAAATATAATGTCTGTTTCTACATTTTATTAATACACATTGTCCTAGTATATCTATTGGTTTCAATATTTTTGTAGCACCGTTTGTATTATAACACTCTATTATATGATTTACTGTTACATTGTTACAAACAATGAATGGATTGTTTTCCAATTCAATAATACAAACGATTAGTATAACTTCTGTTGTTTCTTCTTTTTTTATTTGCAATATATGTGTAATACATCCAATTTCGCCAGATTTCAATTGTACAATAGAATCGTTATGCTTTTTACAGCGCTGGGATTGATAAGCTGCTGTTGTATATCTTTTTCCATTAAATATTAATTTATCAAATGCAATATATTGTTGTGGATTACCTAAAGATACAAGTTCTTCAACGGTTAAAATACAAGTCTTTCCCGATCCGATTAGAACGCAATTATCAATTTCTATGGTTTTTTTTAATAATGGTTTTTTACGAGATAATCTTTCACAAAATTTATGTATTTTAGAACTGGAAGTTATTCTCTCTTTGAAGAAAGAAAGTTTTTGGAATGATAATATTCTGAATGCTACTTCAGTAGCGACACGATTCGGATTTTTCATCTGTTGTAGAAGAAATCTATTTTGAGTTTCAAAAGGAAATGTGTTGTGGGTCTATAAAGGTCCCCAATTCCGTACACCTTCACATAAATGCAAAATGAGATGAATGTTAAAAGTCATTGCTTTTTCTTTAAAATATTGTTGAAATAAAACAACAAATGTTATAAGAAACTTTTCTGCACATTTTAACATATCAAGGGTGATAGAAGTTTGTAATAAAATATTTATACCAGCTACAAATAATAAATGTCGCAAATACTTATTTGGAAGCACTTCTTGTAAACATACTAAACTGTATAATATTAACCATGAGCGCCATTCTGAAGCTTTCCATAATTTTCTTTCATTAAGATCTCGAGGAGTTCTTGATATTGATGTTGGTGGTGATATTCTTAATAAACGGCTATTAATAACAGCTAATTTACTAGGACTTCCGACATAAAATTCTTCGTTAACTGAAGTGAGTATTATTTCTGTATATTGTCGAGCTACACCTAACAAAACAGAATGCATATAATCTGCAACCATGCCGTCCGCGAGATCATAATATTGAAGGTTCATTAGAGGAGAAGGCCCCCATACTCCATTAATATCCTGTCTTTCACCTGCTTGGTAAGCAAGTATCATATCTCTTTTGATTGAAGCATCTGTCCGACTTTGCGGAATGTTTGTTGAAATTGGATATTTTATAACACCCTCTACATTTACCGTAGGATGTTCACAAAAAGTGCATCCAAACCGTCCATTGTATTGTTTCATGTTGAGCATAGCACATCTAGCTACGGAATCAACACAACACAACAGTGGATATACTTTACTTTGAATTACTTTATTATCAAGTTTCCAAGAAAAACCTGTGGTAGCTAACTTATTGGCCTGATCTACAAAAGGCTGAAGGAAAACTTCCATTTGTGGTTCTGACTTTTGAACCCACAATCCAGCTATAAGAATATTTTTTGTTCGAAGGTTTTCAGGCAATTCATTAATCATCAAATAAATTGGCCACATTGATACTTTTGAGGAATTTGTTGTTTGGCACCCGTCAGTGTTAAAAGTATATGATAAATTATATTCGTCTCGTAAAAGATTTAATTTAACATATTTTTTATATTGTTCTCCATCATAAATATCTTCTAATCCTTCTGCATTTAACTTTTTCCGGTTAAATCTATATTGAAGATTATTCATTATAGCTGTATTTGACAACATAGTTCGAAGTTGCGATTCTATATCGAATTCAAGAAAAAAAGTCGTTGTTTCAAGAGTATACACTGTTTGTCCACATTGACACAAAA